GTGTGTGTGTGTGTGTGTGTGTGTGTGTGTGGTGGGGGGGGGGGGGGGGTTAGCCCCCTGAGGCTACTACCGCAACCCTAGAGGGCCCCCTCTTAATGGGGAGCAATGCTGGTCTGCCAGATAACATTTCCTTCACACGTTCCAGGCTGAAACGTTACCCGCATCATTTTCAAGAATAAAACGTCTATAATTAATTGATGACATGTGAAATAAGAGATGGTTTATATTTATGTCTGGGTGTGTGTGTGTGTGTGTGTGTCTGTATGTGTACACTAAGTGACCAAGGCACTTTCTCAGCAGCAACGTTATAGAACTCGTGCTCATATGTGAAAAACAGTACCAGTCAAAAGCCTGGATACACCTACTGAAAATCGTTTGTTTTTCAACGAGGTAACGACCATAAGCACACCCCGAGGTTATGTGAGCACTGTATTATCTTGTGAACTAGGAAGGAGATGGCATGCTGTGACAGATGACCTGGCCCCCACAATCCCCCGACCTAAAGCCTACGGTGCTGGTTTGTGATGAGTTGGATGAAAAAGTACAAGTAGCCAACTTGTGGAAACTTCAGGATTATCAGAGAAGCATTCCAGGTGGCAACATCTGGAAGCTGCTTGAAGGAATGCCAAAAGTCTGCAATGCTGTCGTCAAAGCAAGAGGGGGCAATTTTGAAGAGTCTAAAATTGCACTATTTGATATGTGATATGGGGGCGGCATGGTGGTGCAGTGGCCTCAAACCACTGGGACCAGGGTTCGAGTCTCCGCCTGGGTTACATGTGTGTGGAGTTTGCATGTTCTCCCCGTGTCGTTGTGGGGTTTCCTCTGAGTACTCCAGTTTCCCCCCACAAGTGCAAAGACATGCTGAGGCTGATTGGCGTTGCTACATTGCCCTTAGGTGTGCATGTGTGAGTGCCTGGTGTGCGAGTGTGCCCTGCGATGGGCTGGCCCCCCGTCCAGGGTTGTTCCCTGCCTCGTGCCCGTAGCTTCCGGGATAGGCTCCGGACCCCCCGCGACCCAGAAGGATAAGTGGTTTGGAAAACGGATTGATGGATATGTGATACTTCGTAGCCTCAAGGCCTTGTACTATACGTTAAATAACATAGCTAACAAAGACAAATGCATTAAAAACAGGTGAATCCACACTTTTAACTGAAAAGTTTGGCAAAACTGGAATTTAGCTGAGGATGAGAGAGAATAGTGGCAGTGCCTCTATCATTTCGCTGATAAACAATTCTAAGTACAGCCACAACAGACACAAGTACAGACACGATGCCTTAAATTTACTCACACCCTGAACACAAAAGATACAGCAGCTGATTGGGAATGTCTGTAACACAGGTCCTGCAATGTCACACTCAGGCAAGAGAACACAAAGATGACCCTTCACCCCGAAAAAGAGTGACTGTCACTACTGCTCTTTGTCACCAGAATGGCAGCAGTCACACATCCTTCGATGCAGGAAACCTGAAAACATCCTTCACCCTCCCCCACCCCCCCCACACACAAATTACTCACTGTGAGAAGCGCAGTTTTACATCGGTGACACTGTAGTGTCCTTGGAAAGGGTGGCTGGGGAAACAGGAAGTCTACATTACTCATCGGCGGCAGGGCCAGAGACTAGACATCTCATGGAAAGCAGGGCTGTTTTGGTTTGTAAGCAGATGTGCAACTCCTTCGCCGGGGGTAAAATGGGGGGAGGGGCACTTCCAGTACAGTAAGGGGCAGATTTGTTGTTTCTGGAGTTTATCCCCCCCAATGTAGTGCCTGTCTGTGGCCAACAGGGGGCCCCAATACACACTTATTTAATATTTAGTGCAGTGCCTGTCTGTGGATGACAGCGGGCCCCCAAACCTCATACAAACGTGTGTTCTGAACTCCGCCATTGTGTTTGAGATGCTCACCGTCTTGGGCACGGTTCTACTGTACAGCAGCAGCATCAGGGGGCTGCACTCACCCAGCGGCGACCTCTGACATGGCCTCGTGTGGATTGCTGTGCCAGACCCTGTAGTTATGGGTGACTTTCCAGGCGGAGACGAAGGGGGCGCCGTAGTCGGCCATGAGCTTCTCGTTATCTGTGGAGGTGGGGACAGCATAGGAAGACCTTCAGCCTGTGACTCAGCCCCGTCTCTGGGGGCGGAGCCGGCGGCAGGCCCTCCCCCGTACCTTGCTGCAGCGAGGTGGCGAGCAGCGAGTGGATGTAGAGCCCGAACTGGGCGCGGATCCACTCGTCGCCGCCCTCCCAGCCGGTGCCGTCCAGAAAGACGTCCTGCCGGTTCTCCGTCACGTGCTTCACCAGGTAGTCGGCGAAGCGCAGGTCTGCCGTCGACAGGCTCACCAGCCGCCGCAGCTCGGGGTCCTGGATGAGGATGCGGGCCTCCTCCACCTGCCGGAGATGAAGTCCCCCCCCTGTGAGAGACTCCGTTACCACCCCCCCAAAAGGGTGAAGCCATGCACCGGTTATGGAGGTCGGGCTTCTGCGGTGGGGGCCTGTCTGATGGGTTACTACCAAGGGAATAGGAGTGAGCTTGATACTGGGGGGGGGGCACAACTTAATAATGTAAATACAAAGGTACATGTATGGGGGGGCAAACAGGGGCCAAACCCCCCAAATATTTAATTTGAATTCATTCATCCCCCCCAAAAAAATAGACCTTTCACATTGTTGTGTGCCCCCCCTACAATTTCAAACTCTCTCCTACACCAGTGTAGATGAACAAAGTCAAATTAAGTATTGGGAGGTACATGTCCACCCCAGTTCCTATACCTAATGTCAATAGCTGATTGTGGTAATTGTGAATATAAAGCCATTTAGTTCGTATCTTGTTGACACGGACATATTTGGACACGTGCACATGAATCAGCGAGGAAACCGTGTGACTCACTTCAACCACGGCATCGCTCAGATGCCTCTGCTGGCGGAACAGCACGTTGGTCGCCCCGGCGACGAAGCCACGCACCGTCACGTCCGACAGCAGGTGGTGCTGTTGCAGAGCCATGTAAGGCAGACACAGGTAACCCTGGCGACGCACAGAGTCACTGAGGTGAAGTGTTGGGGGTGGTACATACAGGTATCATTTATTTCAGATTTAAGGGACAGGGTTATTTAACTTCCCGGCTTAGCCCATGTTTATACAGCAAATCCAGCACTTCATGGCGCAAACAGGTCACACCCAGAATAAAGAGCATGTGATGATTTCATAACAGCAACACATTTCATTTCCCGGCCTCACTGGAACACTTAGAGCGTTCAAAAGTCAACCACATTTGGCACGGCGATGACACAGCAAGTCACCTGCTCATCCGAGGCTAAAGGCTAAATGTGCTTTAACTCATAGCTGGAGGAAATGGGTGACGACAGGGACGTGTGTGTGCGTGTGTGTGTGTGTGTGTGTGTGTGTGTGTGTGTGTGGGTGGGTGGG